ATATATAAGAACATTAGCATAAATATATATATATAGGACACGAGGACCGAGGTAAGGATTTATTTAAAGTAATAAATATAACAGAAGATTTCATAAAGTAAAAGATTAGTTCCCTGACCGGGAATCGAACCCGGGCCGCGGCGGTGAGAGCGCCGAATCCTAACCACTAGACCACCAGGGAAGGTTAAAGTCAGCCACGACATCATCGAATTCGTAGTACAACCACTATTCCCATGTTACGCACACATCTGACGTTTTGCGCGAGCTCTTCGTCTTAGTTCATTGGCGGAGTGGAAAACCGCGTTATCGTAGCCAGAAGTTCACTATCTCCATGCTTCACGCTTTTGGACATTTAAGAATGAACGCTTCAGGTCACTTTATAAATTGGCTTAGCTAGCTTGACGTACAGTTGTTGTTGAGAGTTTCACCGTGAAGAGTTACGAAAAATATATCAAAGCGTATATCAAAGCCTACTTTTATCGTGTAGAGTTCGTTCATGATTAAATACCCAGAGATCTGACTGACTTCTGTAGGACCTCGTGGCGCAACGGTAGCGCGTCTGACTCCAGATCAGAAGGTTGCGTGTTCAAATCACGTCGGGGTCAAACATTTTAGATGCTTTTATATATATATTTTTTCGTAATACATTTAATCACAATATATGCATAAAGACCTGAGGGACGAGCACGATACCTGAAGAAGTACTCAGGTACTCTGTAGTAATACCACAGTGTGGAAATACTCTGGTGGAGGAAGTATTCAGATCCTTCACTTCGCCCAAGCAAAAGTACTGGTTAATATTTGATTATGGTTATATATATGATAGTATATTTAGTCAATTACATTACTTAAATTTCTTTACTTGAGTATTTTTTATTTTCTGGTACTTTACACGACTTCTGGTACTTAATACTTATGAACAGCAGAAACAGAGTGAAAATTATAGATTTAATTTAAAAAGGGCTAAAGAGTGAACGTTTCAATATATTTTATAAATTTTATAAATACATATTTATAAATATTTATACATTTTTAGAAATCTATTATCAGCAGATAATCTTTCATTCAAAGTGTGTGCAGACAATAATTTGAGGAAAGAGTGCAGATATAAACGTTTTATTATACATTTATTAAGCAAATAAATAAAATAAAACAGCTCTATTGATGCTCGGAAATTAATCTAAAATCTTCTATTATAGGCAAAAACAAACATATCATTCATTTCTCAATATAAATACACTGCGACCAAATATAATTCAACTTTAACTAAGAAATGCAGCTTCTTAAATACTTAATAATTAAATATTTTCTGGAGAAATTAAATATAGTTTTTGGAGACCAGATCTTAAAGGAATAGTTTGACATTGATATTTGGAAATATGCTCATTCGCTTTCTAAAAAAAACATCAGGCTACACAGACTTCAACCATGTTAGCTTAGCTTAGCACAAAGACTGGAAACGGGGGGAAACGGCTAGCCATGGGACCGGTTACTTCCCGGAATCTCCACTGGTTGACTAGACAAGATAATCATAGTTATATTTAGAAGAAAACAGCACACTTACAGATGAGAAAGAAAACTGTTATTTAAAATGATGTCTTATCACTAAACGACAGCTTCAGGGTTGTAAAATGAATACAAGCTGCATAAATGAACATTGGGATCACAAGATATTTGGCCTGAGATCATGTTTAGGAACCAGGAATGTTTTGTTTTTTAAACTCAGAAATGTTTGGGGTTTATTAAATCAGAATTAGAAAAATGAGGCCGCTGTCTGCCACAATGTTACTGTTAATGTGACCACCAGATGGCAGCAAAGTCAAGATTTTGATCTGTTCATATTTGTTTTCTTTTCAATCTCTTTTTGTTAAACTATATATTTTTGATGCGGTTTTAAAGATGTAACGTCTTCAGGAGGAACCAATGGTAGGACGGTGAATTAGGTCTATTTTAGATTAAAAATAAAAGATAATAAATATGTCGCCTGGGAACGGGATAATATTCAGAGAATAAACAATTTAAGTTTTACATTTAACTCATAAATTTGCGAGAAAAAACTCAAGATTTTATGAAATTAAAGTAACAAATTTACGAAGAAATTCCCTCACAAATTACTGAGGAAAAAACCTCTATTACTAAGATTAAAGTCGTACATTGTTGAGAATAAAACTCAAATATTCGAGAACAAAGTTAAATATTTTCTGAGATTATAAAGTCAAACATTAGCGAGAAAAAACTCTGAATTTACAAGATTAAAGTCCTAAATTTACGAGAAAAATCTAATTTACAAGAAAAAAACATGAACATCCTCTGCGATTATAAAGTCTGAAATGTATGAGAAGAAGTAATTAAATCACATGGCTTCACTTTACAAGGTTGGATCAACCTCATCACACCACTGACCTGCAGATTTGAGTTGTTTTCCTCCGAAATTTCTGAGTTTTTTCTTGTAGAATTTAACCTCTTTAATTTCTGAGAATGTCCGAGTTTAATCTTTAAAATTCTTATTTTGTCCTCTGAATATTACACCCCTCCCCCCCCTGAATCTATTTTAATCTCACACCGTAATGAGAGACGGAATAACACGTTGTTGGTTTTGGTATGTTCACAGAAAACATATAGAATAAATTATCATTTTTGCTCTAAAGTCTCAATTTCCCCCCAAACATCACTAATGTTCCTTAAATTCCACAACGTTTACACTCCAATGGCCGCCTGCCTTTCTCCCTCAAACTGACCTCCCATTGCTCGTTCATTTTGTTTTTTTAATGCGACATTCTATGTGTGGGACCTGTGGATGCTGACTTTCTTGCGGGTGTTGTCGCTGCAGCGCTCCAGGATGAGCTCCGGACTCGGTCGAGGAGGAACGACCGGAGCTTCCTTCTTCGGATCGCTCTCTGAACCGGACCCGGACGTCTCGGGGATGTTGTCTGTCGGTTAGAAACAACATTGTTGTTAGGAGGGTTTGGTTTTGGTTTTCCATAATATCTTCTCCATTGTTTCTCATCCTTACCTATATACAGTATATACATATATATATATATATATACCTATGATAATAAATATGTAGCCTGGGAACGGGTTAATATTCAGAGAACCAATTTAAGTTGTACATTTAACTCACAAATTCACGAGAAAAAACTTCAATGTTCGCTAAGATCTTAAATTCATAAATTTGCAAGAAAAACCTCAAAATATCTGGAATTAAAGTAAATTTACGAAACAATTCCCTCACAAATAACTCGTATATATATATATATATATATATATATATAAGTATATATTGCTCCCGAAGCTCTCATATTTTTCTAAATCTTTTATTACTTTATCTAAGCTCCTATGTCTCTTAACAAACAGGTTAACATCATCTGCAAACTGCTTTATGTTACATTTTCATGACCTACCGGAGGTATGATTCCTCTTATTTGATCATCATTGTTCTATGAGTTTTATAGAAGCTTCAACTGGTTTATAAACACGAGGTGTGATCAGAGCGTGTTTTGTGGGTAGACTGCTGTGATTGTCAGACACTAATATTAAATGTTCCACCCTAGAACCGCGTCTTCCTTACCCTGGTTCTTCCTCTCCCTCAGCGGTGACTTGGCGGTGTTCCTGGAGCTGCCGGTGGGCTCTGTGAGGCGGCCTCCTTTCTGCTGGAGGTATCGGCGGCTGTTCCTGCGGTACGCGTCCTGGCTGAGCTGCTGACGAGCCTTGTTGTGGATGCTCTTTGCATTTCGGATGGTGGACCTGAGACGAGGACACACAGTTTAAAGGAGAGGAGTTTGGTGGTGATGCATCTTTAATGCTCTGTAGTGGACGTAGACATGTGTGTGTGTGTTTTAAATATTGTTAACGATGAATTCTTGTGCAACAGACTGAACTTCTCTTTAGTCTGAAGTGACTCAACAGCAAAGTTACCAAAGAGGAACTTTGTGCAAAACATCAACTCCTCACAGTCGAAGGGTTTCACTTTAAAACTTAAATAAAACAAAGTGCTTTATTTTATACCAGATTCATTTCATTTTATGAACTCTTTACTTATTTTTAAAGTGCTGATCTAATTCCTATGTGTGTTTGTGTGTGTGTGAGATGTGTAGAAGCTGGTAATTCTAACTTTTCTATGTTTTTTTGTGATAACATGAAGGTTCATTTAACTTGTTTTAACTCTGAGTGATGTGTTCGTACCTGCGAGGAGGCGGTTTGTGTCCCTGCAGGTTGGTCCTCTCTGCTTCGTAGATCTCTCTCTTTCCGGCTTTGTGCAGGAACATAGAGGGGAAGTGACCCGTCTCATCTCCTTTCCTGTGAAAATATCCAGATTAACTAACAGTTACAACTGTAGGATTCATTTTAGAAGGTGTTGAAGGGACAGTAGGGATGTTTAGAGGTGTGTCTCTGTGTGTGTGTGTGTGTGTGTGTGTGTATCATACCTGACGACCCACCAGCCGTCCAGCAGCTTGTGAATCACCTCTATAGTTTCTCCGATCTCCAGAGAGATCTCGTCCGGCTGCTCCTTCTTGTAGGCTTTGATGCTGACGAACATTTCTCCTACGGAGGACAAAAGGCGTCACAAACACTGAAAATTTATTTAATCAACGCGACGATGTCATCAGCTTACCTTCGTAGTTCGGCTCGTCTTCCTCGGCCTCCTCCGGTCCGTCCAGAGGCTCCAAGTAGGACGCAGGGATCCAGCCTCGCTTAGACTCACACTGGCAGAACCACCAACCTGAAGGCAACAGCAGGAACCTCAAGACCCGGTCTCACTTATTAAATGTTAAAGTTACTACGAGGAACCTCAAGACCCGGTCTCACTTATTCAAACTGAGACTTTGTATCTTTTGTAAACTCTTTGTTGAGCTCGGCTACAAATAAACATAAAGTCGACGTTGATGTTTCAGAGTGGAGCTCTTCTCACCGTTCTGGTTTTTCTCCACGATCTCCACCAGGTCTCCGGTGTGCAGGTTGATCTCGTATTTGGACGTCTTTTCGAAGTCTGCGATCACTCTGTAGGTGTCCAATATGATGGGGCCGGAAATCTCTGAGAGGTAAACAATAAACACAACAACATAATTATCTCTTGGTCACAGTAGCAAACAGTGAAATCTACATTTTTACAGTGAAAACAGTCAATTGTATTGTAAAATACATCAAAGACATTTTGTTAAACAGCCAAAACCACATATCTGGAGTCCAAGATCCAAACAAAGCAATATTAAATCATAAAGCATAAAGACTCGACTAATGGTGACAAGTTGGGCAAAATGAAGACATAATTATCTCTCGATTTCAGGAAAAAACACTAAAACTTTTACAGCAAACACAAATAAAACCCAGTGGCTGGAGTTAACAGTTACAACTGATTATTAAAACATTAAATACATTTATAGATCAACCTGAATATTTGAATTACAGAAAAGAAGCTTTGCAGCAAGAAGACACTTGTTTATTTTACATTTCATAAACAAAGGCAACTCAAACTGATTTCTATAAAGCATAAAACATAAGCATGAAGAAAAATATACGGAAATATGACAATTTATAAATAAATATTGTTCTCACCGGATGCGTTTCCTCTGGTCGACTCTTTGGAGATCACAAACGTCTCGTTTCTCTTCAGCCTGAAGAGAAAATCATAGTTTTCATTCGTCAATTTGTCTTTATTGTTTGACTTATTAATCTTCTCGAAATGATTCATCTTTAATGCTCTGTAGTGGACGTAGACGTGTGTGTGTGTGTGTGAGAGTGTGTGTGTGAGTGAGTGTGTGTGTGTGTGTGTGTGTCTGTGAGTGTGTGTCTGTGAGTGTGTGTGTGACACTGACGTGTTTGGGGTGGGGGGGTTCTCGTCCTCTCTCCTGACCCTGTAGAAGGTTCCGAGTTCTCTGCATCGTGAGATGTGAGGCGGCAGGTTGATGAGTGAGTGACAGTATTCAGCCAGCGTGTTCTGTCTGGTCTCTGGTGACTTCTCACTGATCAGCCACCGCGGAGCTGAGCACACAAACAACAACAGTCACATGTTTCAAATAAACAACAACAACAACAACAACACAGGAACTGGACGACGGTTTCCCAGAGACGCCGTCTTTAGATTCTGTAGAAAGAAATGTCTTTTTTTTGATCCTACAATAAAGCATCACAGGCCAAGATCAAAATAAAGAAAAATTAAATCATGAATGATGAAGACGAATTTGAAGAGAAATTATGAAGAAAGGAGAAAAATAAACGTTATTTGAAGCTTTAAATTTGATCTTTCTTCAGTTGAGCTTTGACAGAGAAATATAACAAAGTAGACTTCATGTTTGATTGTGATCTCTGTATTTAATGCTGTATAGAAATACTCCAAAACAATATTCCAACCGTTAAAACTTCTGGAATCCAGTCAGAGATTGTTTGTTGTTTGTAAAATCTGAATCTGTTGTGCAGTAAAAACTACATTTCCCTTTAAGATGTAGTCAAGATGTATGAAACAGCATTTAAATACTCAAGTAAAGTAAAAGTACTTAATAATTGTACCTGAGTTACTTAGTTACTTAGTTACTTTCCTACCACAGCTCTTGAGAAGTGGAAGTTTCCAGACTTTCCGTTGTTTGAGCTGCTGTTGCATCAGAATTGAGGTTTCGTCTTTACGTTGCAACACGTTTGGTTTCGTCAGTAAACTTTCACGCACTAATGTGCTAACGTTACATGCTAAATGCTACACAATGCTGGATGTTAGCATGATGACAAACCAACATGCTAAATACATGTTTGAGTGAATACGCTATATTTAGAACACTTTCATGTTATCTGTGCTCTCTTCAGAGACACCAGCTGCTGTGATCGGTCAGTTAGTTTGTGTTACTGACTTCGCTCAACTAGACACTGAAGACAATCTCGCTGCTTTCTTTGTGAGAACTCGTCAAATTACTGTTTTTGTCAATGGAGTCTGGTTTGCCTTCTTTTCTTTTTAGCTCCACTACTATTAAGCGTATAATAATAGATAATTAATCCGTTTGTTTGTTCTTTTAAACATTATTTCTGTCTCTTCGTGTTCTACTTTCCTTGTTCTTCATTGTCAGTCTTGTCCGTTCTTCCTTTAACCCAAAAAAACCCTCATTTTGAAATCAGTGACTTGATGCTTGTTGCAGCTTTTCTCCGTTGCTTCAACAAACACGCAGAAAGGAGAAGTGATTCGCCCACATGTCTTGAACAACCTCAGGTGCTTCCTGAAAGAACGCTACAGCTTTCAGAGGGAGTTTCACGAAAACGTCTCATGCAGCTGCTTCACATTTATACGAGTTATCTTTTTAGTACCAGTCTGTGATTAACAGTGTTGCACTTAGTTTTGCTTCTTCACTCACTGACACTGAAAACAAACACAATCTGCATTATTTTACATGCAAACAGCTTACATATAGGCAATATTATTATTATTATTATTAGTAATATTATAATAATTATTATTATTATTATCAGTAATATTTTTATTATTATTATTTGTATTATTAATACTATTATCAGTGGTAATTGTATTATTATTATTAATAGTATTATTATTATTATTTGTATTATTAATATTATTATTATTATTATTAGTAGTAGTAGTATTAGTAATACAATAATAATAATAATAAATATTATTATTATTGTTATTATTACCTGGTAGTGACGGGATGATTCTGTCCTTCTTCTCGATCTCACCAGACTCGATGGGAAACATCTCCTTCAGCAATTTCTGTGATCAAAAAAACATCCAAACGTTTCTTTATCAAAGAGCAAACATTTTAAATCAGTTTTTAAACTTGACATTTGGTCAGCAGAGCTTTTATTTTGTAGGGCAGAGGGAGAGCTCACGTGGAAGGTGTAGATCTCAGGATACGTCCTGTAGATCAGCTTCTCCGACAGGTCGCTCCATTTCACCATCAGCATGTACACCTGCACACACATCACACATATCACATCACACACATCACACATCACACACATCACACACATCACACACATCACACACATCACACATATCACATCACACACATCACACATATCACACACATCACACACTTCACACACTTCACACACATCACACATATCACACATATCACATCACACACATCACACACATCACACATCACACATATCACACACATCACACACATATCACATCACACACTTCACACACATATC